ACCTCTAAATTAAAGATTTGATAAAATTTCTTCAAATTCTGAAAATTTTAAAATGTTTCAAATATTTAAAATGTCTCATAATATCACTCAAAATCACAAACGAATACACCATCTTAATAACCTACGATATCTTTTATCGACGTCAGTCAACTAAATTTTTCAAAGATAAAATTCACCGGAAATATTGAAGAAAAACTTGAAATTTTACCTTCCAAGTAATGTGAGAAAAACTTGAAACTACAAATTAATAATATTGAGGGTTGTTGGACAAATAATTCGCAGAGGCAACCTCAATTGCTATCCACAAACAATTATTGGAACATCTATATATATATAAAAGCCAAGCAGCTCAAGTTTTCCCTCCTAAACTATTGTAAATACATATCATTAATATTTTGATCAATTTGATATAGTTTGTCTCAAAGTTGTAATGATATGATTTTCATTAAGTATGAGAGCTATAATACTACTAATATTTATTTGTATATATGAAACCAAGGAAAACATAATTACACTCATTTTCCCATGTACATCTATTACATACTTCAAGTAAATTAATTATACATTTTAAGAAACTTAGAGGAAAAAAAATTACAATAAAATTTAAAAATAACAGGTAAAATACAGTCTTACGCGAAAAATACTTCCAATACACACACACATACAAACACACACACACACACACATATATATATATATATATATATATATATATAATGAAGAAATTTGGAGGAAAAATTTTACTCTAAAACTGCATTAATTACCTATAAATAAATTTGTCAATTTCTATGTAGATTTCATAATAATGACAACTATTTATCATAAATGAATCTATATATATATAAAACCAAAGCAGCTGGACAAAAATTTTTTCCCTCCCATTTTATATTAAATGTTTCTCATTAATGGTTTGATCAAATCAATAAATATTGTCTAAAAATTAAAAGTCCTATTGAAATTGTGTATAATAGATAATAACATTATTGGGAATGTTTAATAAGTGGACAATTGTTTAGAATGTTGTGCTAATTCTACACATCTCTATACAACTAATAATTAGATCAAACAAAAAATCATAATGATTAATGTCACATTATCTATTAATTGTCCTCCATGGACTAATTCTTTAAATTTTTAAAACCATCCACTTTGGGTATTTTAAATTATTAAACTATATTATGTTTTCATTATAGAACCACAATATAAGAGTCTAATGTAGTCTTAATTTAGTTATACATGTTTTACAATCGTGGGTCATTTTGAAATTGTAAATTCGTAACCACATAATATAAAACCTAACATATATTTAATTATAATGCGGCAAAATAAAAGTTTATAGAAATTAAAAGATTAAAAGACATCGTTTTTATAGGATGTCTTTATGTTTAATTCATTGAGTAAATTTTCCAATGCAAAAAATCATAAAAACTAAACAGAAAATTATAACATATTAACAATTATTCTCAAAATTAAAAGTATAACCATATCTGTACAATTGAAAAATCAATAAAAATTATTTTTTCCTTCAAAACTTTATTTATGTTTATGAGATCAACATGTTTGTATTGAAACATATTACATATAAACAAAAATAGAAAGAAGCCACAAAGAGAAAGCAATGACAAAATTAATAAAGTTAAATTTTACATATAATATAATTTATTAAATTAGAAGAGATGTAATGTTCAAAATAAAAAATAAAAATGGATCTATAGGTTTTTTTGGGTCAAGGTGTAAACCAAGTGAAAATAGGTCTAAAAAAGTGTGGATAACCTTTACTTGAAAAATAAAATTATTTAAATTTAGGTTTCATAACCAAAACAATAGAATTAAATTTATACATAATAACACATTGGAAACTTCACTCCAATTTTCATGGTCAAATAAATTTGAAACAAATTTATCAAATTCTATGTGGACCATTATAATATAATGCGGCAAAATAAAAGCTTATAGCATAAAAACTGAAAACCTACCAGTTATAGATAATTCAATAATATCAATATATTATTTCTTTTAAAGGCTAATTTAAAAATATTTATTATTGTGAATTTTCATTCCAATTTTTCATTTACTTTTTTCCTATCTTCACAAATAATCAATTAAATTGTTATTGATTGGTGGGTCAGTCCAAGTTTAATTATAACTTCATATTTATTAAATATATTCATATTTACCTTTTCAACCGATCGATAACTTAAAAAGAGAAAACATGACAAAATAAATTACAAAAATATTCTATTAAAATATTTAATTTTTAAAGAGTTCTAATATATTCATATGGAGTATTATATATCATAATCATAAAAAAAATATTCAAAATAAATTAAATAGCTTTGATTGTGAAGTATGGAATGGAAAATACATATATATCGTTCAATTTTATAATTAATTTCCTTTTAAATATTAAGCATTTTCATATTGATTTTGTTGTGATTAGAAGTATGTTGTTTGGCCAAAATACATAGTTTGTATAATTTTATTAATATTAGTACAATTTATTTTAGCTTTTTCCAAAATCTTGAAGAGACCATTTAAACGTATGTGCATATTTTTTTCCCCTCATTTTAGTTTATTTGTTGGCCCATATTTATACAATAATGAATTTTTTAAAGAAAATGTCTAATGGGTAATCTTATTGTTAATTTTTGTCTATATATCGATCGTTAAATATTTTAGAATCGCGGGATTCTCACAGATAAAATTTCACACAACATATTAAAGATGCAACAGTTATATTTTCTTTATTACATATCACAAGTTTTAATTTACCTTTTATTATTTTAGAATTATATATTATAATTTAAACATTTTATTCTTATTATTTTTCATGAATTATCAATATGTATTTAAAAAATAAGTTAAATTAAAATTATCATAAATTCCATGTAAAGTAAGTGTTGGTGTTGACCTAACATTGACTGTTGCCATTTTGATTGTTTCAATAATATAATTTGGAAGTAAAATATCTTAAAAGTCTAAAAAATATATATATTTTGATATATAGACCTAATGTTTTCTTACTGTTCACATTTAGACGGACATACACTGTTAAGTTTGTATGTGAAATAAAAATGAGATGATTTTGTGTTAGAACATGACATGAAGTTAGGTTTCGTTTATGGGTAAGCGATAGGGTAATGATACGAAATGAGTATTGTGAAAGGAGAAAAAAAAAAAGAAAAAGAAAATGATGACAGAAAGAGTGAGTGTATCCCGACCATAAGAAAGTGGGAACAGTAATGGCGTGATTTTTATTTTGAAGACTGGGTAAGAAAATATATATATATATATATATATATTATTCTATTATTCAGTGAAAATATATATTATACAAGGTCTTTATATTGATTTCGGTGGTATTTAATTTAATTTATTTTTAGTTGGTATCATTTGTTCTATATAGGTCTAAAATTTGAGATAATCTAACAGTTTG